ATGTGTGAGCATGAGGTCTCTCGGGTGTTGTGTGGTGAGGCAGTGTTAGTGAGACTGAGACTTACAGCGAACCATGAGACGGAGCTGTCAGCGCCGTAGATCTTGACGGCGAGTTGCCAGGTGTACCAGTCACCGGCGGCAGCGAAGACGGCCTGGGTGGCCTTTGGGGCGGCGAGGAGCAGCCATGATCGCGCGGCGACTGGGAGAGGTCTACCTACGAGGTCTGCGATGGTGTAGACTCCGGCGAAGAGAGCGGGATGGAGGGAGGAGCGGAGCTGGTACTTCCATTCCTGAGTGCAGTGTCAGTACCCACTCGTCGGCAAAGAAAGATACAAGCAAAGATGGGGGTTGCTTTTCATGATGATAGTTGAATATGACAATTACAAATTCTAATTGCAACTCAACAACCCACGCTTCGCGAGAGAAACGGAGAGACGAGGGGGAAAAATGAAAAACTCACCCATGTAATCCATGCACCGCTTCCCTCACCAAAGGCCATGCGCCATGCGGGCTCGAGGGCCTGGAAGTACTCGTCGGGCTGGAAGAAGGTGAGGACCCACCAGGCGTTGAGCAGACGGATGACGAGGAGGTGCCGGAAGACGGAGGGCTTGTTGTGCTCGTTACGAACTGCCATTAGGAGTTCGGGGCGGGGCGAGGAGCCGACGGAAGCCATTGTGGATACGCGCTTGGCACGGTGCTGGAGCGGTGTTTGCTGAGCGGTGGCCGGCGGCGGCAGCGGCGGACGGGGGTGTTTGGAGGTCGGAAGGCCGCTATTGCGTAATCATCGGTCGGACGGCAAAAAAGGGAATTGGGGGGGGGGGGGGGGACGGGGCGCTGTGTGCTGTGTGCTGCGTGGGATGGGAATCGAGTCAGGAGGCACACACACAGCAGATGCACACACGCACACACGTCTGAGGATGTGAAGAGGCGTGTATGCGTAGAAGGACGAGGCAAACGGTGTGCGGTACGTGCGTTGCGGACGGTTGGTGTCGTGACGAATCCTGACTTGCAGGCTTGATCACTTTTCCCGGTTTTCTCCCCTTCTCGTCTCGGTCTCGGGAGAGGAAGGATTTGCTGTTGGGCTTGATGCCGACCTAGGCAGAGGAGGAAGAGGGTGAGCGGGCTGCTTGATTGCTAATGGAATGTCGAGACGAGGTTGGGAAGGACGGATTACTGGCGCAAAAACAGCGAATGGGACGATGGTCAGGCCCCCCCAAGTTTCACTGACAGGGCGCCGTTCACGTTCTCAGGTCGCCAGGCATTATTGTTGGCCGCTAAAACCGAGTCGTCGAGGCCTGGAGAAGGAAGGGAACGGGGACCCAAGGTGCCACCACCTAACGCAAAACCTCGATTATCAGGCACGAGTTCCAATGGGTGTCCACCTTTCTTTGGCCACCGCAGGCTCTCCTATTGGCTCCCCAGGGGGCACCCATCGTAGAGTCGCCTCCCATTGGCTCCGAACGGCGGGAGTTGAAATAGGTGCGCCATCATTGGGCAAGACCGCTCTCTTTCCGTGGAGCGTCTTCGAGTCCACCACTGTCTTCGGACTCGGCAGCTAAGGGACGGTCACAGCATAGCATTCAATCAATCCCCACGGGCACTACGGCGTGTCACTTTACCGTCTCCCTCTTATCTGGCCGTTGACCCAATGACGCAGCTCTGAATTACATCAGGCGAACGAACCCTGACAGTACACAAAAAGCAAAGCAACGTCAAAGATTACAGATGATATGATAGCGTAGATAGGGACCTCTCGTTGGTCCAAATGCACCGGCGCAGCTTCACGGACTGGGTCCCGTTATCGGCGCCGCCTTCTTTCCTCTGGTTTCCCCTCTTTCCTTCCTTCATTCCCGGCCCCGCCAATCAACCACACTCAACCAGCAGCCCGTCCGTCGGCAGTAAAGCAGAGAAGGAGCAGCAGCAGGAAGGAAGGGGGGGTTCGGTTCTTGTTGGTTGTCTCCCACGTTTTGATTCATCTGTTCCGTCACTCCAACATTCCAACACCACCACCACCACCACCACTAACGACCTACCTCAGTACATACCTTCGCGGCGACACCGAGCAACGAAAACCATTACAAACAGAAACACTGGCGCCGCTTTCCCTCGGCCGCTTTCGAACTTGGATTTTATTTTCGTTGGCACCACACGCGCACACGCACACCCCATAAGGCCCATGTGACCGCAATTGGGAACATGGGATACACCGGGATGCTTTCCCTTAACCTGGCCCCCTTCGGGCGTCATCCTGCCCACTCACCCACTTGAGCCGCTTATACCTGCGCTTAGGGGAACATACCTGCACTTAGAGGCATAGCGGCACGCCTCTGACTCCGACACCAAGAGTTTGGTTCCAGGTCATGGCCCGCGTCTTACGCTTCAGCTTTGGACATGCCATGTCATGTTTTTCCTTCTTGGTGGTCCATTTGCTCATTTTTTCACGACCTGATACCCGCCTCCGGCCGCTTTGTTGAGCGTGCTGGCCGTTGCCGCCGCCGCCGCCGCCCGCTTGCCCGCTCGCCTCCCTCTTCCTGGCCTGCTTGCTTGTCACGGTCCATGGTCGCTTTCTGCTTGACCCTATCCCATGTCATGTTCCCTCTGTCTGCCTGGCCTTGTTCTTTTAGTCAAGGACGCCCCCAAAGTCTGGGACCCATGTGCCGTCAGGGTATATTAAGCAAAGACCCCGCGATTTGCCCTTCGTCCCGGTCTCCCCTTCTCTTTGACTGTTTTCCTCTACCGAAAACCTTACTCCAACAGCCACCTGTCCCAAAGACACACTCTCTTTCTGACAACACGAATTGATGACCCCCAAACCCAATTGATACTCTCAACTTGTCTTTCCCCTGCCACTTCGTACTCTACGATACCCAAACAAACCACACAACTCTGAACCACCCAACCAACCAACTTACACCATGGCTCCCCACGCAAACGGCGGCGCCCCTCAGTCCAACGGCACCGCGTCCAGGTACCATGCCTCCTCCACCGACGGCGCGATCAAGACCGAGAACGAGTATGCCGCCCACAACTACCACCCTCTGCCCGTCGTCTTCTCCCGCGCGAGCGGCGTCCATGTCTGGGACCCCGAGGGCCGCCAGTACCTCGACTTTCTCTCCGCCTACAGTGCCGTCAACCAGGGCCACTGCCACCCGGAGCTCGTCAAGGCTCTGACCGAGCAGGCCGGCCGTCTGACCCTCAGCTCGCGCGCCTTCTACAACGATGTCTTCCCCAAGTGGGCCGAGAAGATCCGCGACGTGTTCGGCTACGACATGGTCCTGCCCATGAACACGGGCGCCGAGGCCGTCGAGACCGCCATCAAGATTGCGCGCAAGTGGGCATACAAGGTGAAGGGCGTCGAGCAGGGCAAGGCGCTGGTCTTCTCTGTCAACGACAACTTCCACGGCCGTACGGTTAGTATACTTTATGCTGTAGATGTGCGCGTGTTGCGTGGGACGTCGAAGCTAACCATTGGAAAACCAGATGACCGCCATCTCGCTGTCAGTCGACCCCGAGTCGAGAGACAACTACGGCCCCTACGTTCCTGGCATTGGCGCCGTGAACCCCTCCACCGGCAAGCCAATCCGCTACAACAACGTCGCCGATATTGAGGAGGTCTTCGAGGCGCACGGCAAGGACACCGCCGCCATTATCATCGAGCCGATTCAGGGCGAGGCCGGCGTGGTCGTGCCGGACGACGACTACCTAGTCAAGGTCTCGGAGCTGTGCAAGAAGCACAACGTGCTCTTCATTTGCGACGAGATCCAGACGGGTATTGGCCGCACGGGTCGCATGCTCTGCTCGCAGTGGGCGAACATCAAGCCGGATATGGTGACGCTTGGCAAGGCCATCTCGGGTGGCCTCTACCCCGTCAGCTGCGTGCTGTCCAGCAAGGAGGTGATGCTCGTCGTGGAGCCCGGCACGCACGGCTCGACGTACGGTGGTAACCCGCTCGGCTGCGCCGTGTCGATCCGCGCTCTCGAGATCATGGAGGAGGAGGACCTCACCGCCAAGGCCGAGAAGCTCGGTAACATCTTCAGAGACAGCATCAGGGCCTTCAACTCGCCCATCATTCAGACCGTACGCGGCAAGGGCTTGCTCAACGCCGTCGTGATTGACGAGTCTGCCGCGAACGGAAGGACTGCGTGGGATCTGTGCTTGCTGCTGAAGGCGAAGGGTGTTTTGGTATGTCACTTTTCCCCCCTCCCCCTCCCCCACTTTCCGGTCATGATGGCTAATGTTTGAATGGATAGGCCAAGCCCACGCACGGAAACATCATTCGCTTCGCGCCGCCTCTCGTCATCTCCGAGACGGACCTTCGCAAGGCGCTTAATGTCATCGGCGAAGCGCTCAAGGAGCTTCCCACCGTCGAGAAGGCTGCCGACCACTGAGTTGACCAGGGAAAGAACCTTCTGTGCGAGGGTGGTCGATGAGGCGAGGTGATACTTTTCACATCATAAGCGACCGAGTGAGTCGTCGCCCCCCGATGGCAAACGCGGGGAAGATGGTGTCTTGTCACACGACCAGAGCGCTGTGTGTGTGTGTGGCCCGTCAGATCTGAGGGGACTGCGGGGGAATGGTTGTTTCGTTTGATCTGTCCTGATTTAGGCATCCAACCCTATCACGGGGAGGGGAAAAGGCGTTGGGAGCCGTGTCTTCTCTTTCTTTGCATTCCGACGCCTGCTCCAGAGCGGGGAACACGATTGAAGCAACTGCAGAGTTCACGGTGCGCGCGCGCGTTCGCGCCAGGCAGCATTTCTTGGGGAATCATGGTCATTGGAAGCGGTTGCATATGATACGGTCCGGAGCATTGAGGCCCCTTTTTTGCGGGCTGCAAAGGTAGAAAGAATATGCATGTGCCGCTCGACCAAAAACAAAAGGCGACAGATTCCGATATGGTGGAATACACTTTTGAGTAGTAGATACAGAGCGAGAATCTCAGAGTGAGAGTATACACACACATAAAAAGAGATGATTACACCAAAGGCCCTTGGGTAGCTACGATGGAGTCGCACCTGTGTACAGTCTCGAAAGACACGCACGGATTCGGGAGGCTGCATGTGCATGTGTCGGTAGGTGGGAACACGTCGAGGTGCATGTTCCTTGTCCATTCCTACCCTCCCACCACCACCACCACCATCACGACGAAATGCGTTTGTCCTATTATGTTTCCCTGGTCTTTTCCGTGCTAATTCCCATGATCGAGTAGCCTACTTGTCGCGAGCTTCTCAAAGCACACACACACACACACACACACACACACACACACACTCATTCACTCACACAAGCTATCCAGTTCAGGCCTGCGCGGCCGTAGAGGTTGCGGCGTGGGGTCGGGTCTGGGATGATTGTCACCCTCCCCCCTCTCTGACGCCGTTAATTGAGGCCAAACATGTGTGTGTACTTTCATGGCATGTATCTTACCGGAATACTGGCCGGAGTCGCTGTTGGTTGTGGGAGTCAGACGGGGAAGGGAAGGGGATTGATTGATTTGCTTGGCGCGGGTTGGTCTAGGCAAGTGGATGGAGGTTGGGGTGGTGATGGTCTAGATGGTGCCATGGTTGAGGTGCATTGTTGGTCCAAAGTCGGTCCCCGTCAGCGAGCGGCCGATGGATGAGAGGTCTGGGTCGTCGTTCGTGGAACCTCAGGGTCTGGGTTTCTGGTGCGACCTTCAGGCGGCGATGCTGCGGAGCTGGAGCTGTGGTGTTGGACGATCTGGGGTAGGGTCTTGAAGATTGTGTGCTCTGTGTTAGCGGTGGTCTAGCTGTGAGCGGCTATGGCACGTATCATGATATCGTCGGTCATGTCAAGTGTATGTATCCCTCGTGTGACTCATCTTGGATAAGGCACAGTAACTACTGCGATGATCACCTTCAAGCAGCGTAGTCTATGAGGCTCCTCGAGTCTTACAAACTCGACCGGCTCAATGCTTGGTTGATTGTAACGTCATGTCCACTGGTGATCGCACATTCATGAGTAGGACCGGCGGAGGTGTATCGACGGGAGATTGCGGCTCTTGGGGACACCTTGACGGACCAGCCCGTCTCTTGTGGCCAGGTGTGCGGAGAGAGTCGGTGTAGGGGTCGAGATCTCCTACCTAGTCGGCCGGCGCGCCCTTGGGCTAGGGTCTTCCCTTGCTCGATGTCGCGAGGCAAGTGCCTGGACTGGGACTGTCGATGCCTAGGCGATTACCTAGTCGAGTCGAGTTCGGCCGATTTACCAAGGCACACCCGTCTGTCTGCCTACTGCCGGGGGAGAAGTGCAAGCTGTGATGCACAGTACTTCCATCAGCCAAAAGCACAAACGGCCTCTTGAATCGTCGCACAGCATCTTGACGGCCTCTTCAGGGCATGCGTGTAGGCAGAAGCAACGAGATGACGTAGACTGCGGGAGGCTGATCAGACGGGCGCTTGCAGTCTCGACCGCCGAGACGCCGTCTAAGCCAGCAGATGCCCGGAACCCCAGACGATGCTATCGCGTAAGTGGAGCTGATGACTCTATGAACCCCTGGCGAAAGGGGGAAAAAGGAAGCATGCTCGATAGAGCACTGTCGTGTGCTCGTGGCCAGCTGTGCCTGCATCGACGCCAGGTCTCCCCTTTAATCGCAGCCAACCTTGGACCGCAGACGGACGGGACGAAAGTGGCGATTCAAGGCAGCTGACCGTTCCCCAGGCTTCATCGTGGAGCCGCATCCCATCCTTGGTTCCGTGAATGCTTGGTTGCCCCGTCATCTCACCTCCGGGTTTGAAGCTGCTCCGAACAGGCAGGTGTCCCACAGTCATTGGGGTGGGTGATTGGCTACGACGATAAGCTGGGGGATTCGTCGATCGCTGCCGGCGAGGCTGTCATTTTGGCGCTAGGACCTCGGGTGATGCGGGCATCCACCTCTTCTACTGCGTATCTTTCCAAGGGGGTGGGCAGCTCTTGGAGCACGCGGGGATGGGTCCCCGTCTTGCGTGTTCAGGGAGGATAGAGAGGGAAGATCGCCACGGGGGCGCAGGGAAATAGTCCTAGTTCTATCGAGTGACCAGTCGGAACGTTTGCTCCTGGCCTTCGCAGGAGGTCCTATTCTCACTTGAGAGTTGAGCTTGAAGTGATGAGTGATAGATTGCAACTAAGACTGAGTAGACAATGGAATTGTAAGGGCTGCAGTCCAGGACGGAGGCGAGCTGGTGATGGAACGGAGAATGGATGACGGCTCCGAGGACGCGGCGCCCTGTTCGGATTGCCGTTTTGGGGCAGCGAATGGCACTTGCATGGGGGGGAGCTGGCAGCTGCAGCGGGCGAGACAAAAGTGTCTTGGAAGTGGGTTGCCCCATCGATGTCAGTTTGCCAGGCACAGCAGACGCGACTTCGACAAGACTCTGTGTCTCTCTCTCTCTCTGTGTCTCTCTGCCTTGGCCTCTTGAGGAGCTTCGCCCTCCTTCCAGGCTCTAATAAGAAACACTGTGAGAAGGTATCAACATGTGGGGCGTTTGCTGATTCGAGACCACAGTCGGTGATGTCAACGGGTTTCATGGCCCCCGAAACAGGGTTTTGACAGGTTGAGAGATTGAAGCCTGGGGCATCAACGGGTGATTGGGGGACGGAGATGAGAGTCTCGTTTGGCTTGTGGTATGGTTCTGCTGATGAGCTGGGCTTAATGGTGGTTCGTGCGAACCTGTGGATAATACCAAGCGAAAGATGGGAGAAAACGCAACGGACAGATGAGCTGGAGCGGTGGTTGCCTGTGTCCACACAGCAGATATGCACTGGCGCCATGATTGGGATGGCGGCAGCTCCATGAGTAGCACCTAGACAACGGGCGACGGGGAGGTGTGTTGGCCTGGGGCACTTGTGCGTCGTCGTCGTGGTTGATGGTGCAGCACGGTACTTTGCGGTATTGGGGTTTGGCGAGAGCTTGGAAGCACAGGCGACGTTCCCGTTGGCTCATGGGCTGTTTGAGCCATGCGTGGACGAGTAAGGCAGCTGCAGTACCAACGATCCCCGAGAGCCCGATCATGGTGACATGATATGTATGGCTGGGGTGTCGTGTCCAGGGTTAATCGTTTGGACAACTGGAACCGCGTAGTGTAGACCAGGAGGACTTATTAGGCTCTGCGTCTTATCTCGTCCCATCGAGCGGGAAGTAGACGGAACAACCACGGTCAGCGCTAACACTTGACACGATGCGTAGACTTGAAGAAACGCAAAAAGTGGACAAAGTCGGTCCCCTGCGATATGTATGGAGCATGCTGCCCGAGGCCGCGATCCGGTTGGCTGGAGAAGTGACGGACAGCTGGCGCCAGGCATACCGGTGACAGACGAGCAACCTCAAAATAAGGTGGCTTGACTTTCTCTGGGGATTGTTGAGAGATGCGAGCCTGAAGGAAGGCCTGAGAGCCTTGGAGCCTGAGAGGTAAGGTAAGTCGAGGTGAGGCAAGCAGCAAGGCGAGCCAGGCCATGCTGCAACCTAGCTCAACCGGTCAATGAGAGTGCTGGGCTGCAGGCGATGTGAATGCGCAAAGTTCGTTACGAAGTATGGGGCGGGCTTGCGTTTGCCGTTAGTCAACATTGGACCAGATGTCGACTGGATCTGACAAGGGGTGTTGTTTGGACCAAAACCTAGGTAGCTGTAGAGAACAGAGGCACTGTGTGTTAATGTTTCGAGATGACAATCAACAATGACGAGACCCGGTTGTGCTGCGCTCCGGAATCCACTGGCACAGTCGAGACTCATGGCAGGACTTGCTTTGCGCCTGGTTGATTTGTGGGCGGCCAGGCAGGTATTGCGCCATGGCTCAGCGGGATGATGGGACTCGACGGTTGAAGGTTGCGGTGGCTTGACATGAGGCAGTTGAGTTGCCGAAACGATTTCCAACCGGCCACCTCTTTTCGCGATGGCTTTAATGAATAGCGGGAGCCACTGGGTGCCTAGCGGATGTCGTTTTCACATGAGATCGATTTGTTGGTGCAACATCCCCAGAAGCACATGTTTGCCGTGTTGGTGAAGACGGGAGTGTGAGATACGATAAGGGTAGCGCGGCGACTATCAAGGTGGACTGGGTTGCTGGAGAGCGAGACAACAGATCGATGGATGGATGCGTCCCTGAGTCCACCCGGCGATACTGTGGTTGAGTGGGCAAAGGTGTGCGTAGCGTGCCTGGGGTGATGAAAGTACCGGTACCTTGTCTTGGCTTGGAGATGTATTGAAACGCCGCGTACCGTGAATCCGAAAGTCGGCAGGCAGACGGGAGCCGGTAGCAGCGCAGTAGCAGCGGACACCTTTATGCGTCAGGGCGTTCTGGCGTGCGTCTGGAAGGGCGGATGGAATGGAATGGGGGGGACTGTGGACTGCTGCATCGTGCCCATTCGTCCGTTTCGTCGGTGAGAGCCTCCCGTCGATGAGGTGGAAGAATTCGGAGGTAAAGCAGCGGAGGCACTGTACTGCGTACACTACCGCAGTAGGTTCTCTCTCTACCTACCTGTTTGGAAGCAAGCAGGTGGAGAGAGTTCCATCTGCAAAGGCTGTTACAGGGGAGAAGAGGGTCGCTGGAGTCATTCAAAGTGGTGCGACTGCGGCAGCCGAGTGAAGGAAGAGGTGACAGGCTCGGGGGTGAAGGCGAAGTGTGTGCATGGAGATGGAGATGGAGAAGGGAGAGAATGGGGTCCGAAGACCGGGGTATCTGTCGCGTCGACGACGTTATGATGAAATGTGCCTGCCTCACTGCCTCACACTTCAGCATCCGTACTATGAAAGGCAAAGCAGAACCAGAAGGGACGAGCGGCCAGGCGAGAGGTGTTCCAGCCGCCAAAGTGAATCGCCGACGGTGCTACTGTGCTGTAGGCATAATTACATAGTAAAATGGAGGTAAGTACCTTTGTACCTCCCTTGGTGCTGCATGGGGGAAGCTACGCCTGACCTCAGGAACCCAGTGACATCCAGCGACACCCGTGAGGGCTGGTTTGACATTGATGAGGAAAGAGGCTTGGACGACGGACGGCATGGCTACGAGGCGTTGCTGTTGCTTCATACTGCGCATAGGGCTCGAGAGAGGTATTCCATGGCAACGTGAGATGAGCAATAACAACACCCAGAGAGAACTGACTGACGCTCGGCTCGGCTCAGCTTGACCCAGCCCAGGGACCTACCCTTTTCTCTCTTGATCGTCAAGACCGTGGATACATACATACAGTCTGGAGAGTTCCCTGAAGGTGCAGGCAGAGTGCAGACCAAGTGCCAGAAAATAGAGGTGCCAGGCACCCAGGCCAGATGCGCTGTCGGCGCTTTCCCAAATACGGAAGTTAGGCGAGTTCGGGGAGTGGACCTGCCTGGCAATCTGGATGCAAACACCGAAACGGCTTCCGAGATCTGTCACTGGTTTGACAACAGCAAGAGGACGGTAAAAAGGTACATGCCGGGGACCCAAAAAGGAGATGGAGATATGGAAAGAGAGGGTGAAAGAAAGAGAGAGAGAGAGAGAGAGAGACACCAGACACCAGACACCAGA